ATTTCACGAAATTACCACCGCCCATTGTTTTATTTAAATTACGCTTCTACAAAAATTTTCAAATTAAAAATGTAAAGTTTCTAAGCGGATTTGAAATAATTTCTCACCTTTTGGACTTTCTCTGGATTGGCATGAATTTTTCAAGGCTAAGATTGGCCAAATCGATTCAGCCGTTTTCGAGTTTTATTCGGACATTTGAAAGAGAACTCCATTTTTATATAACACTACAAAAAGTAAGACAAGGTTAGAGAAAATATGTTTTTTCAGCCCTTCAACTTTCATTTTCAAACCATAAATATTTTTGACAATGAGATAAAAAAGAAAATCTCGTTTCTTATTTAATTTCTAATTAAATAATACTCTTTCGTGTTTCAGACACGTTTAACAAATTTTCTTTCATTTTCGAATTAGCGCTTTTGTTTGTGCCAGACAAGTTTGTGTTGTTTTATTTAAAGATAATCTAGAATGAAAAAGTAATTTTGTACAAAACTCTTTAGTTTAGGCACTGTAAATGAATCTTGTACATTTCTAATTAATCCGTGTGTTAAATGTTCTTTATATGAAAGATGCTCTGTATTATTACTTAGATATTAAATTCAGGTGTATAATATTGATATCTGCACATAATCGTCGAAATGGCATTTGCCATTTTCCCGAGAAAGAGATCAAAAACTTATATAACGCCTCAGAAAAGTATCAGAACAAGAAGAGAAGTCCATGTCAGAGTTTGAATTATGCGCATACATGCATGATGCTAAATTCTGAAACTTTTTTTTATTTTCTATGTTTGTAAAATAAACTTATTCGATCTTATAGGGGTAGTAGTATGAAGAAAAAAATTATATTTTCTAAACAAATCATATTTTATTGAAATGAAATTTTTGTTATAATAATTTAAATTGACAATGTTTTCGCTTAATCAGTCGGTTATTACCTAATTAGCCGATCTTTACTAAAAAGTAATCAGCGCGATTTCTAACTGAAATATTCAAACTAGAGTTTATACAAAAACCGACATTTCAGAAAACCGGTTTTCGAATTTTAATTTTGCTAAAAAAAACGGTTTTAACCGGTTTTCGAATTTTATATAGAAAATAAATTTTTGCTCGAATATTCAGTAAGTTATCCGAAAATTTAGTGTAATTTAGAGCAGTATTTCACTGAATTTATTTATTGTTCAATTTTATAGATAGTAAACAAAATTATTTTAATTTTAATTAGTAGGACTAAAAAATAATAGTTTATCTTGATTAAATAACTTTGAAAATAATTATTCGTTATTCATGCATCATTTTCTCATATAAGGATGAAAATATTTTTTATGAAAGTGAAAGGAAAGTTTTTGAATAAATAAAATATACATTTTTAAATAAAAAAATTCATTAAATTAAAAGAAAACAAAAAAATATTAGATACATGTTGATACATGCTGTGATACATACGTTTTAATAAATACTCTCATTATGAGACATATGCACATCAAATGCTCCCAAATTATGCTTAATTGTTTTTAAAGCCTGATATAATAATTCTAAGTTTTTGTTCTTTAATTTGTGGCTTCTAAGGTTCAAAACTCTTTTTTTAAGTTTGAGTAGAGGAAGCTACTTCTTCAAGAAGAAGTCACACTGATTTAAATTAATTTATACACTGGTCAAAATCTAAATTAATATATACAAAACCTTTCTGGGAACCATTGCAGACTGATAAGCTATCAAATGCTATTGAACCGATATGATTTCAAGAATCAAAACGCTTTCATCTATCTTTTATATTTGGGTATATTTGTCATTTTCTATTTATACAGTGAAAACTGACTTTTTTCACTAAAAACCCGGTTTTCGAATTCCATAATTTTTGCCAAAAACCGGTTTTTAAAACCGGTTTTTGAAAACTGACAAACCCTAATTCCAGTACATATTTAAGAGCTGAAACTTTCAGAGAATTGTTATTTTATCAATTTAGAACCATTTGAGCTCTTGAAAGCAAGGAAATTTAAAAATGTCCATATTAAGGACCACCCTAATATAAATAAATAAATATATATATATATATATATATATATATATATATATATACACATAAGCGATATATAATGTTTGATCTAGTTTATTGCAATTTCTGGTCCATCTGTTCAACAAACAAACTATCGTAGCTTCATCATTCAACTCAACATACTGTGTATCGTATTTTTATAATTTCTTTTACTTTTATTCAACTTTTTTGTTAATTTTTTTTTTATTCCATACATATAAAACGGACGATATGATCAAAGATAGAAAGATAGATAGATAGATAGAAAACGTGGGCGAGTTCTTTCTTCCATTTCGCATAGAGATTTTGCTTGACTGGTTTATTTTCTTAGAATAAATAAACGCTTGCTGAAGCTTTTGAGGAGGACTACGACTACGACGACTACGACGACTACGAGACGATATTTCCACGCCACTTCAGCACACCTATCTATCGATACTTTATCGATATAGTCGATCTATTGTAGGTATCTCATTGGGAGCAATAACGGAACAAGGGAATATTTTTGTATTTAATTTAAAGAAAAAACTAGTGGTGTATGGCATCGTGCCTTAAGACAAATTGCTGGTACTTCTCGTACCGTAATGAAATATTCGAGAAATTTCAAACGTTTTCAAATATATTATTACAAATACTGTAACTTTCATTATTTTTGCTATCTTATTGTTATATCTAAGCAAATCCAATGTAAATTATAAATCAATTCATCTCCAGAACATTAACAATCGTCATTTCATTGCGAATTCAATTTCAAAAAATTGTTGCCTAATTTACACTGAAAAAGTGCATTTGCAAATTATTATGATCGATATTTTCACTTATACTGTGCTTAGCTTCGCGACATTTTCACATTTTTCACAAAACAGTCTAAAGGCACTTGGGTAAACATTTGAACCATAGTGGCGCTTAGACTGTGCTTAGCCTGGGTGATTTTTTGAATTTTTAATTCAAAATTAGAAAAATATTTTGAAAAAAACAATTAGAAACAAAAATTTTTTTTCCAAAAGCAATTATTTTGTTGAAACAAGCAGAAAGTTCTTTGAATCAATTAAATCGAACGCTTAGTTCTCTCAAAAACTGCCATTTTTTTAACATTTAGCTCTGTATCTCCGAAACCCCTGACCTCCCTTGCCAAAAACTAATAACCACTTTTCCTCGGAATTACGAACTGAATGTTTTTTGAATCACACAAATCGGATGATCCGTTCTCTCAAAAACTCGATTTGTATTTTCTGCACTCTGCTCCATATCTCCGTAACGACTGGACCTGCCTTTGCCAAAAACTAATCAGCACATCTCCCTATCAATAGGAATCGAATCGAATTTTGAACCATTCAAATCAGTTGATCCGTGCGCCCGAAAACGTGACTGGGAAATTGTATCAATACACACATATATATTATATATTAGATATATATATATACACACACATAAATTTTTTTTGAGCTATGCCAAAACGTGCAGAAACCTTCAAAAGTCGAAAAATGTAAAAATATTCAATTTCGATTTTCGGCCCATTACAATAACTTACCCTACGGGAAGTTAAAAATAAGAAAATTGACCACAAAATTTTAAAAATTGGACAACTCATGAAAAAAACAAATGGATTTTCAGGAAATATTTTAACTTTTTCATAACCATTATGGATTGGTTTATACCATGTTTTCTATAGAAAGTGTATAAAACTTCCAGTTTGCTGTATTTACAAAATATAGACAAACTAATGAAGTTTATTGTTTTTATAATACTTCATTGTATATAGCATTCAAACAACACATCCTTATACACTTAAAGTATTAATATTTTTGATTCTCTAGAAATAGTTTAAAATATACCTTACTTAGCAAAACAACGTTTGCCGGATTTCCAACGTTTTCTAACTAAAACGTATAATTAATTCGAGCTTTATTGCTATTATATAAAGTCCATATTAAATTACAAGCACTCACTGTATACTCCTTCTATACGATTATTCGGATTATGATAAATCTTTCGGAAGTTTGTTAAGGAAATTTTCTAGGATGTATGTGATTATAAAGTACTGGGATATATGTGCAATATTGTAGAAATAAATGGAAAAAAATGTAAAAGACGACATTTGTTTGCATTGAAAACAAATGAATACTATCATCTGCCAAAAATTTGAATTTACTTATGAACCTATACAATATTAGAAGATGTATAATAAATTTATGATGTGAATAAGAAAAATGAAATGTTTTGGCATTATTATTGCCAAAAAGCAGCTGAGGCGTGCCAGAAATTAAAATAACATAAAATACAGTACATGTATGGCAGATTGAATGATGAATAAGATATGACAAATTGATTCATTTAAAATATGAAATTAAGTAAGTTTTAATCAGAGCCGGTCATACCTTTAATACGATGCATGCGAAAAATACGAGTGCACGCCTTAGGGGGCGCCAACAAAAGATTCGGATATTAAATTTTCAATATAGTTTTTTTTCAATATATAATTTCTTTGCTAATTTTACTAATCTTTCCACAATATTTTAAAAATACGTTAAAATTTTACTTTAGAACAACAAATGGGAAAGTAAAGATGAATACATACAATTCGACTCTCACGATATCGATTAAGAGAAGTTAAGATGCAATTTTGGATATATTAAATAATAAAAAATTGATTGAGTTATGTTATGATTATTGTTATGTTATACCGTTTAAAAGACTTCAATTTCCAATATTACAATGTGGGAATTGAGACTCATCGTTTTATTTAAAGCAGTTCTGCATTTAACATCGCTCATATTATCAAATGTATATGCATTTTGACGTGAAGAGTAGTTTAAAAAAACAATAATGATTATTTTTAGGTAAACGGTAAATCTTAGTATATTATATTAAAAAATTGTAGACATGGATACAGGACAACGTCTGTCGGTTTATCTAGTGTATATATAATACTGTATAAAATTAAAGGTCCATTATAAAATACCTCTTACCTTAAACTCCCATCCGGCCGAGTTTGTTTTACGATCGTCCGCCGCCGCCGCGGGACGCTCGCTGCTGCTGCTGCGTTAGGTACCTTCCCCCCCGCCTTACCGCTTTACCGCCTTACCGCCGCCTTCACCTGTTCTGGAAAAGAAGCAACTATTATTTTTATTTCGCCCAAGTGGCCTCTGAGAACAAACTCGCCCGCAATGATTGTAAATATCTGCGTGAATGTGCGACCCGGGCGCACGTAATGCATATTATGCCATAAATTCAACAGAACCGGTACATAAATATACTTGTACTGTACACACACGATTAAATATACAAATATATATATATTATATATATATATATATATATATATATATCGGAGCAGTGTACTACATAAGAATTATCGATAAAGTTTTACCGATTAAGCAGGAGAAATGAATATAATCCAATGTTTTATTGAGGAACTTTTCAAATTCAAGCCGAGAGAAAATTTTGTATTGGATTACGAGCAGATATTTTATACGAAAATGTATACCTATGCGAATTCAATACTATGTATAAATATTATCATTTTTAAGACTTCAATTAATCATTTTATACAAAACTGCAAACATATAGACGTACATATGCTATCCTATATATAAAATAATTTGTATTTTTGTAGAATCATTGTAAAGCATTTTATTTTTTTTAGGAATGTTTTTAAAATGACTGAAAGAAAGACTTAGCAAAATTGAAAACTAATAGAAAAAGTTGATAAAAATGAATTTCATAGAAACCGAATTAGATACTGTATATATAATAATATATATAATATAATTATTTATGTGAATTTGCTATTTTTAAGACTCCAATTATTTTATTATTGTTATATTTATGTTTAATTACCGTAGGGTAAGTTACAGAAATCGCAAAAAATCGAAAATGAAAATTTTTGCATTTCTCGACGTTTCAAAGGTTTCTGAATATTTTGGCATACCTTAGAAAAAATGGATGTATGTGTGTGTGTGTGTGTGTTCGGATACAAATTTCGTCGACGATTTCGAGAACACCGATCAACCGATTTTAATAATTAAAAAACATTCGATTCGTAATGATAAGGAGACGTGCTGATTAGTTTTTGGTAAAGGCAGGTCCAGCCGTTTCAGAGATGTGAAGCAAAGAGTGCTAAAAATAGAAATCGAGTTTTTGAGAGAACTAAGCATCCGATTTGAATGATTCAA